TCTTGTCAAGTCTAGATTCTCTCAATAAAGAGACGAGAAACAAAGATCTTTTTAATTTCATTTTACAACTCTTATTCTGCAGTTTTTAATTAAACGCCTTTAAAAGCAAGCGAATCTTTATTTGTTTCGATCTTTTAATATTACTTAAAGTCAAGTAATATTTTTATATTAGTACAAGAACAACCGGTCAAATGAAAAATTCCAAACGTCGTTCACTATAAAAGTTATGTGCCGTTGATTGTCTTGGGTTAGATACACACAGGAGCAACGTCTGCTATTGATCATGGAGGGGTGAGGTTAGCCGATGATCAAGAGGAGAGAAAGTAGTAAAAATACTTTTTTATTCCAAAGAGAATGCTTATAAATTATGCTTATTGCTTATGGTTCACTGCGTTACAATAATTGTAGGCACCTCCCAGTTCTTCTCCTGCTCCCAATATACATCTACAGTATACACTAATAACTAACTATTACACTTCTTATTCTATTTTAATTGACAAAGAAAACATTTCATTAACGATATGAAATTCAATTAAAATCTAAAGGCAATGTGCAGGTAAATATTAGTAAAGCCACGGCAACTAACATGCATCCAATAAAGCAGAGCTTTGGGGATAGTTTAAATCAATAGCCAACGTCCGACGCTGACCAATGTCCTCAGTAAAGCTCACATTCAACCTATACAACTGACACAGGTTTGTTTACAATTTATATATCGCTATTAGTATACGTTGCTTTGATAGCAATCAGGTAAGTGTGACATACGATCGATACTTCGGACACTAAATGAGAAATAGTTATACCTAGTTTATGTTAATCACCCAGGATCGGGAGAGCGTCGGTGGCTTAGGGGTTAAGCTATCTGCAGGTGTTGAGTTCGAATCCCGCCATATACCATTGTATTTTTTGATTTTCCATTTACAAATGTACATTTATCCGACGTTCTTAAGGCGAAGGAAAACATCGTAATGCAACCTACACGTATCTGAGAAGAAATATTTATGAACTATGGTATAGTGAGCTGATGATGATGATCCAGGGTTGGTTTTAGCATTTCCGGCGCCCTGGGCAAGATTTGTTGCAGTCCCCCTCTTTCCTGGTGTCGGGGGAAATCTTCCAAGATACGGTATTCCGACTGCGGTACCTGTTGTGTCTCTTTATGCCCGGCGCCCTGAGCGGTCGCCCCACCAGGCTAACCCTAACGCCGGTGCTACAACCAAAGATTGTGAATTTCTCCAGTTTGCAATATTATTACTATAAAGTGCTTTAGAACGCATTGATGGATGTTATTCTTATAGACATAATCTTAAGTTATTTTTCCATTAAAAATTTTCATTACTCTACCATCAATAACCACACTGTACCCTTGATTAAGAAACATTTGCACTCAATTTGTTTTGTTATTAACGTGGTATTTGTGTCATGTACTTTGAACAAGTTGCCATCATAAAATGCTATAAAACTGGTTACCGTTGACGCTTATTATTGAAAATCCGAAATGATATACTTGGGCCAATATAAATATTTCAATAAAAAACGAGAGAAAAAAAGACATTTTTTTTAATTTGCATAATTAAGTACGCTAAGTCACCAGCATTATCGAAACGGAATAATTTAAAATTGCTTTAGGGGCATTCATTTGCGTCTATTGAATACATACCAGGACACTGGATATGTGAATATAAAATTACACATTTGGAATACAAACTTGCAAGCGGTCCATCTCAGCGTCAAGACCCAATACAAGCGACGCCTTTTATTTAGTGCATCATTAGCGGAATTGTATCCGATCAACCTTTGTTTATATGCATCCTGTGCGGTCTTATTGCCATACTCAGAATGCTTACTAAAGCTGTTCCTACGCAGAACGTTGGAACGCAATGTTTATTCCTAAAAATAAAAGTATAATAATTCTCTTGTTTCAACAATAAATGGATTTATAGTTGTTATCGTTAGTACACAACTATATTATGTGGTTCAATAAAGCTTAGTCACTCTTGACTTTAAGTAAGCTTCAAGCCATTCGGTAAGGAAGTGCGTGTTAATGAAACACATCTTACTTATGTCATAAATGCGAATGTTTAGATGAATGGATGTTTGTTTGAAGGTATCTCTAGAACGGCTGCATGGATCTTGCTCAAATTTGGAATGGATGTAGAACACATAGGCTAATTATTAAGTTTTTTTTATTCCACGCGGACGAAGTCACAGGCGATAACTAGTTTATTAATTAGGACATAAATGATGTTTTCGGAGGCTCTTTATATGATAAATTGCAAGACACCTTGATTGTTGAATCTTTTAATTTTGCTAAAGCTAAAGCTAACATGCCTATTGTCATTTTTTTTTAATTTAATTTTATAAGCCCCTTTAATTTTATAAGCATTATTAAGTCATTAAAGCAAATTATCTCAGCTCATCGATCGAATGCAAAAATAACGATAGGAAATGACAGGTAATGATCATCAGTCATAAAACTATCCAGGTGGCAACCATCCAATCGACTTCCCGACTTTGTCGAGTTATTAATAATACAAATTATATTTCATTATATATTTATTTTCATTAAAATGGACGGTGGTTTTATCACAACATATACATACAGAATTACTTACATATTAAAACAAAATCTAATTTAAAAGAGATCTTATTCTCGGACTTTATAAAATATATATTTTCTTATAAAGTACAGAACTTTATAATTATTGTAACTAAAAAATGTATTTTTCACACAGCGTACAATTATAGACATTACACCGTAAGTTTTCACTGCCGTCACTCTGGCGAATAAAATTCCTTATAACCTTAAATGAGGATATAAGACAACGACACAATATAAACAACTTTATTCATCAATATGTTTTGTATAAAAGGGTGTTGGGGTAGTAGAAACTCACGGTTATAAAATACTTAACTTACCAAATTCTAATACTATTAAACACATTTTAAGATTATATTAACTAGTTTAATGCCGTAAATTGTACGAATTGCAATCGCAACGTTATTCAATTGCAATCATAACGGGAAGGGGAAATGTTCTTTATCTGTGAGTCTTGTCCTCCGTCTATTAAAGGTAGGTATTTGCGTACGTGTATAGGAAGCGGTCGCTTCGCTATTTCGGTGATTTGCGGCCGCTTGCTCGTAAAAAAGCAATGTTGAATATTATAATCAAAATAAAAAATTTAAATCCAGTATAGTCCAGGTCCTTTTATAAAATAAAATCCAATGCCCATATATCGTGACAGAAATTGAAAGGTGAAGGTGATTTGGTTCTCGGCACCTTACTGTGTCCTTTAAACAGTTGACACCTGTCGACCAAACAATACTGCGCGACGAAAAATCATAAGGCCTCTTACAAACGGCATATTAATTTACAACTAGTGCAAAATAAATATATTATTTAAATTTGTATTAATAATTTTTGAATTCCCATGTGAACTATCCCATGAACCTAAAAAGTATGAAAAGATAATTCTGAAGTTAAAAAAAAAAATTAATAAAATCTTACTAAATATTATAAATGCAAAAGAAAGATGGATGGATGGATAATTATTAGAAGGTATCTATATAACTGCTAAACAAAACTAGCTGAAATATGGCGTGGATTACTAATTAAGTTATTTTAATTCCGCGCGGACTGAGTCGCGGGCGAGAGCTAGTATCATAAAATAGCCAAAGACAACAATGCTAATAATATAAACAATTTGGTGCACTATATAATAATGTTAACATTAATTACGTGCCACATCAATTTCAATTACACGAAAATATCATGAACCATCCTCATTATGAGTAATTGATGAATATTAATCAAATCAAATTCTGCCGATGGAATGTAATTACAAATATACTTATATTTAACTAATATTGTATTGAATATTTTGCAATAACATGATAAAATAATTATAATTAAATTAAAATGAACTGTGTATCATTATTTTGAACGCTTCGGTGGCTCAGGAGGTAAGCACTTGTCTTGTAATCCGCAGGTCCTGGGTTCGAATCCCACTAATGTGTTTTTCGATCTACTTTTAGATATTTATTACAACCCTTTGGCGCGAATGGCGCGCTTACATTGCCAAGTACTTGACTCAGAATGAATGTGAGGGGACAAAAACTTAGACATTTTAGTAAGGCTAGTGTTGAGTCAATACGTTGGCTCATTTCCGGATTTCTTGTCTAACATTAGATAAGTACATTTATGGAATGATCTTACGATGACGGAAAACATCGCGATGCAATCTGCGAAGAAATTCAAAGGTATGTGTGAAGTCAACCCGAATTAGACTAGGTTGACTGTGGTCTGATCACTCCTAATATACGACTTTCGTTAGCTGATGATGGTTATTTTCAGTTTCTATTTTTAAACAGTTTTATAAAAACTGACTTTATATTATAGTCTGCAGGCACCTTAATCTTGTTTTGTATAAAGTCTACATATATTAACCATCTGTCGCCGGCCTTATTGACTTATTGTTCATTTGGGAAACACCACAATTGCGACGCAAGTGAATACGCGTATGGAATTTTACATCATATAGCCCGCGTACGCAAATAAAATACCTTGTCAATTTGGGAAAAATTTAACTAAATTCTTACCCAATGCTAACAAAAAATCATTGGAATCAAAAGTATAAACTCTTTAACAACTCGTCAGATATTTCTTTGCTATATTTACTACAAAAATTTGTTATACTAAGGTTTTTTATTTTCCTGGTCAGGCTATACTTCTATAAACAATGTTTAAATTTTTTTTTCGGTTGGTTGTTGTTTTTTGATTATTCTAGAAGTTCTTAAGGTCTTTTTAATGGATGGAAAATCCGAATTACATTTGCATCTTTAAACATAAACAAATCAAATTACATCATTTACTAAGTTATATTATTGTAACACAAATTTACTGTGAAAAATAATATTTTACAATTGTTTTACTTTTTAAGGAAATTACTTTCCAAATAATTTCATAGAATGTTATATAAAAAACAAAGTTTAGGAAACAAGAACAAGAATTAAATACTGAAAAAATTGACTAATTAAAAAAAATTACAAAATGAACTATACAGGATGCTAATAATCCTGATATGTCGGTGGGAAATTGTACAGAGTGTCTCTAATTACATAAGTTTTAATAAAAATATAGTAGACATAAAAGGTTTACATAAAAGTTGTATTGTTTCGTTTATTTACTAACAAATTAATACTAATTTAAGTACAATAAGAATATACAAATAAGGATAACAATTACTTATAATTGTCATCGTAATAAAATTGTGCTGTAAATAAAAACTTCTATGTCATTCATTATTGTGACTATCGCCATGTACTATGTCCATTACTTGCATTGTCCGGTGTTGAAGCATCGGATCCATTGAACAGCGAGTCATCTACACCATCTTCGTTTATATCATCGGGTGGATGACGACAGAATGGACAGTGACCTTTAGTAACAATCTGTATTTCATAATCTTCCATATAGAACAGCTGTAACAATTAAAATGAATTATATCTGCATTTTTACTATCTTTTCCTGTACATTTTGACGGGAAATTCGCTGAATTTCGTGTCCTAGTATGAAATGCAGCGCCTCTATCGGACATAAAGATAACTAAGAATCTTGTACAATTTTTCCGATATAATTTGAAGCCTGATTTTAGTCTATTTTCCCTTTCCATCATTTTCTTATGAGGGATGGGAAGGGATATATATATGACGGAGATGTCACATAGGAAGGGGAAATATTCTCTTTCTGTGCAACATCTCTACCGTGCGAGTTCAGATGGCTGATTGCTCTTTTACCACCTAATTATATTAAAAAAACTATTATTATTATTGTGTAATTTTTGTATATGATAATGATGTATTGATACTTACATTCTTGCAGTGTGTACAGGTCGCTATGGGCAATTCGGGCAACATGTTCCTGTAGAATCGTGTCGGCAGCGGCGGTCGCTGCACGATCACCACGCTCGCTGGGTTCATACGCAGCAAAGCATTACGACTGCACACTACTAAGCCGGATTCATCGTCCTAAAAATATAACAAACAAAAGAAAAACCTTGTTAAAGATTGCATGGACAGGCTATAAAACTTAATATTTTGTGCCTATTTGAACATCGCCATTTTGGTGCTCATTGTTGCAGGTGATGGGCGAGGATTCGAATTAATAGAGATAAAATTAACTATCAAACACTACAACAGGCGCTTTAAATGGAAACAACACAAACGCTGGTCACAGCTGAGATCTGTGATTCTTTTTAATTAAATAAAAAAAGATAATCATTAAGAAGATTCAAACAAGCACAAACTCGATGAGGTTGTGTCGTTTCTTTGCATAATTCCTATGGTCAAATTCCAGCTCCATCATCAGATCAGCACCATGTCATCATAATTGCGGTGTCACGCGGTTTACAAATATATTCAAAATTTCAGATCAATTTGTAAGCTCGAAGTGGATCAAATTTAATTTACAAGATTTGTTAACGAACATCAGGACCGTTGGAACTAAATAAAAGTAACAAATTTTTATTACGAATTTTTGCTAATATAAAAAGTCTGTACCTCTTCAATTTTGTCTAAAAAGGGATCTGATGAATCAATGTCATGGTCTATTCGAAGGATATCAGCTTCATTAGTTTCTTTGGCAGTAGCTTCTGGAAGTGGTGTACGTTCTAAAAGATCAAACGCTTCCTCTATAGATATACCATCTGCTGGTACAAACTGTACCAAAGGTAGAACTTCTGAAAGAAGAAAACGTACATTTAGAATCAAGTATAAAAAATCTTAATTTTTTATATCCATATATGAGATAGAATTTTTAAAAACAAAATACAATAAGAATATATAATCAATATGGCTACAAAGATTTAAACAAATGATTGAAAGATATTATTCCACTCTTCTCTAATAATATTGCTATCCTTTTCATTCTATATGATAAACTAGCCTTTATTAAAACAAATAAAAACAACTAATGGATAGTGACATCTATTGAGTGCTTTTCAAAACAATAAAATGTTTAATTTAAACTAAAAAAAAAACTCTGATTTTAAATAAAATAATGTATTATTTTAGAATATATTCTAAGAAGATTTAGAGGTCAAAAAATGTCATGAATGAGATTTGAACTCGGCGTTCACTAATTTAGTACTTTACTTCCTACTTCCACTACATGTGTTTTGTACCTATGTAATATACCATAGAACACTCTCGGGAAGAAGACGAATCTAATGACACCTCATTCATCAAAATCAGTCCAATTGTTTACGCTCTATCAGTCTCGTTAAAAAATATATTTTTGCTAAATTCAAATTACTCACCATACGTCGCCATTGAATGTGTAAGATGATGACAACAATGTGGACACCTCGTAGCGCACAACACAGGCACGTGTCTCCGACACCGCCAGCACAGTGGCGCCACCTCCTCCTCGTTATCACCACAACTGGTTGCTCGACTCTTCAATATTAATAGTTCCACGCTTTCCTTACAAAAAATAAATATAAAGTTATTTCTAAAGCTATATTTTTTTACTACTTATTTTTGATGCATATACTTTTGAATAAAGATCCCCCCCCGCGACATTCTTTTGGGGGGGATCTTCGAAGGATACCCTGCCTTTCGGGAGGTAGACAGGGTTATGTGGGATTTGATCCACTAAAACCTCCAAGGTGGCTAACCTCGAACGCAATGGTAGAGGGTTCTGTGATCTCCAAGACAAGCAATAGAACCATCTTTTAAAAGTCTGTACTGTAATATTATTCATAAATCGTAAACACTACGATGATGGAAATTATATTTTTTTAGTAACTAATATTTAGTAGTACTAACCTGAAATTTTTGTGGTATTTGTAAATTGAGGATCTTGTCTAACATCTGTTGCGCTAAGGTGTTAGCGTTCAAGGTCTTTGCTTGTTTCGCGATACAAAGGTACAAACAACTACAGTTATTGTTAAGGAAAAAAACGATCTAAGTTCATTGTGCATACAAGAAAAGAGTAATAAAATCCGGGCGCTAGTTTATCATTAAAAAAGTAATCTGTGATCTTTTCTTACTTTTATATACGAATTGATAGCTGTTGCTCGCTGTATTTACACGGAATACAAAAAAAAAGTAGTCTATGTTTTTCCAGACTATGTTCTACATCCAGATCTAGATCCATACAACCGAGGTAACCGAGGAGGTACCTTCTAACAATCCATCCATTTATACATTCGCATTTATATTATTAGTAAGATAATAAGTAAGATTACATTTACAATTGTTACCATTTGGTTTCTTTATTGAATGTTTGTTTTATATTTTAAAAGGATACAATAATGATAATCCTGGTGGTGGTACGTTATCATTGACGTACGCGTGCGCATATCTTGCGGCATTCAATAGCGCGTCTGGTTGCGTCAGTGAAAACGGCTCGTGTATACAGCGGTGTACTGCTTCATAAGCGTTGTACACCGCAGACAATTCCGCGTTATACTCGTAGCTACGAAGCGATGATTCACGATCTCTAAATGAATTGTAACAACATTAAATAAACAAATAATTTATTGTATTTTAATGCATTACTAGCTGTCGGCTGCGACTTCGTTCGCGCGGTATCAAACAAAAAAAAACTTGATAGGTGGCGGTATTAAACAAAAAAACTTGATATTGTGTTCTTCCAGACTGTTCTATATGTGTACTAAATTTCATAAAAATCCGTTTTGCCATTCCGGAGGTATGTTCAATCCATCCAAACATTTGCATTTATAATATTAGTAAGAAGTAAGTAAGTAATCAGATTCTATCGCATTAGAAATGTAAAAAACAAGATAAACTAACTTGTCATTGGTGTTAGCTGTTTCTAGGCATTGGAGAGCAAGAAGATGATGTAAATAGCCGGCATCAGAGAACCTCTCCTCGGCTACTGCGTTGCCCACCAACACGGTGAACACACGCATCGCTGTTGAAGTCTCCCCAGCCATATGGTATGCTGGAAACAAATATGAGTTATCCCAATGTGATGTTTATATTATGTACATACGAACACTAGGGTCGTCCGCGACTTCGTCAGTGATTCGATAATATGAAGAGATAGGTACATAAGAAAGTAATATGTTTGAAGGTAATGTCCTCTAATCTATAGAAATACCGAGGAAAGTATGTATGTATTTGTATGTAAGAAGAGAGTGAATTCAGATATAATGTCTGATAGAGATGTATAGAAGAGTTTCGAAGCGATTCTATAGCGAGCTTGAAAATTCTATGAAACTGAAGCGCGACAATCACGTCACTTATCGAAAGTTACTGTCAGATAAATAAATATTTGAAGTTTGTTATAGAATCGCTTCAGAGCGAATGCACAGGCAGAAGTGTAACTTGATGTACTAGGGTTTCATAACTAACCTTTCTGTGCTTCAATGAATTTGTTCTCTTGCGCCATACGGTGTGCATACGGTAAGTACACTTCGCTTCTGCACTCCGCGTGCTCACGAGCCAGTGCAAAAGCCCGCTGCCATTCACCAGCTGATATAGCTAACTGAGCTACTTTCCTAGTAATATAACATATATTAATTATGTAAAAGTTTCGACACAATTCCCAGTAATCAGAACATAGTAAGGTATGGAGCCTAATAACTCCAATATTATTATATTAATTTAAACTAATATTATTTCAATCCTATAGTCTCACAAAAGATATGCATCAAGTGGAAGTAGTACCAAAAGTTATATCTTAGTCCTCTTTCCTATTCCATCCTTTCCAATAAAGAAAATGTGGAAATTTTTAATTAATTTGACGAGGGTATCCCTCGATTCTTTTCCCTATTTACAATAGTATGGGCAGGGTAAATTTGCTATGTTAATAAAATCTGTAGTTTATATTATTAAGTAAGTCTTACTTGTAATCACCGAGACGTTGATATACGTCAGCTGCAGCGGCCGGCTCACCTACTGTCACCAAAGCTTCCGCGACATGACGGAGCGACTCACTTGACCCTTTATCCAATTTACGTGCCAACTCTATCAACCTGTACATACAAATATTACATCATATGCTGTGATAATTGATAACAAGCTTATCTGGACCGGTGGGCAGTAAAACTAAATTGACAGCTCACTAGCGCCCTCCAGTCAACGTCACAAAATGTTTTATGATCACTGACTTCTATAAATGGACTGGCTATAAGACGTTGTATTTTGTGCCTATTTGGTTTCTGACATATATGTACTGATGGTTTGTAACGGTGTGGATTCAAACTAATGTTCTAGATAGAATTAAGTGACACGTAACATCAACGGTCGCGTTTAAATCGGAACAAAAAAAGCTGTCATTTACAACCTAATCCTCCATTAATAACCTATCCATTTAGATATCAGTGCTCATGATCCACTTTGTACTGAATTATTGCCATTTTATATGTCTTAGCAGATTTTATATATATTCAGGCAGATCCAACCGCGACAGTAGCGCCCTTTACACCAGTTCAGATATCTTTGTTGGAGTATAGTCAGTTTTATTAAAAATAACGTAAGTAATGACAGTGTGTATTGTCATGTGTGTAGTTTTGACATAATAATGTAATACTGACATATCTCTACGTCCGTTATCTGCCATAAGTTGCGCGGCACGTCGTACATCGCCCACAGCCAGGTACATTTCAGCTGCGGCGCGAGGCTCACTTACGTGCCGCGCCCACTCGGCACGCCTTCTGCCCAGCACCGCTAGGCCTTCGCCCTCACCGACCAGCTCCTAACACAAAGATATTAACAGACCACCGTCGGATTCAAAGTTGTAACATGGCCACCAAGGCCGCTATTAAATTAAATTTAGTAAATTGATCCACTGAAAGGATTTACTGTTGGTTTCTAAGGCCAAAATATCTGTATATTATACCTGTGCTTTACTAAACATCCTTAGATCAAGGTATAAGTTAAGAGCGCGGTCGTCGCGTCCCGATGTTTGGAACGAGTTTGCAGCCTCGTTGTACTTTCCTCTGTAGGCTAGAACTTCTCCCAGCACTACACCACGCTTCTCGCCAGCTTCCAGTCTTTCCTAAAAGAAAAATAAAGCATTGTATGAAGTAAACAAAACGTCAGTTCAATAAATGAAGGGTTTGATCTTTTCTCACTTTTACCATAAATATGTGGAAAATCTAAGGTTTTTCCAATCTTTTAGGATTAAATTAAGTGTTTTGATATATATATAGTTATAAAATATTATACGAATGTTTCGATGTATGGATCTATCAGAAATTTGGCATAGATGTAGGACATAGGCTGCAAGAACATATAGTTCTAATTAAGTTTTTTTATTACTGCGCAAAGGAGTCGCGGGCGACAGCTAGTTTAAGTATAATAGTACCTGTAATTGATCAATGAGTGTGAGATAAATGATATTTTCACTGCGTTGAAATGCTTTTCTCGCTACTTCGAAAGCTAATTCGTCAAACGCCGCCATGCCGAGTCGCTCCCAGTCAAGTGCGGTCACACCCAAACAAGCTACCGCATACGCGTCACTGGAAAACATAATTTATAACATAAATAGCAGAGGGTCTATCATGTACATTTGCTTATCGAAACACCATGAACAAAATATATGAAAATTTGTATGAGACTTTTCGTTGTACTTTTTACTCGATAGGGGGAGCTGTCTGTCTAATACAAATTTTGAGGTTAAGAGTACTTTCTTACAAATGTTCTTGAAAGGCCTTTGTTCTGGATAAAGTTAAAAATTATTTAATACTTAATTAGTGTTTTTTTTATTCTAATTTTTTAATGCATATTATTATAATACTTACTTGAACATCTTCTTTTGAACATACTGGTGTACAGCATGGGAGAGTGGTACATTTATTGATTGCATTGCGCTTGCTTGCAAACAGAATACACGACCGCCCTGGAAGTTATATAAAATCTCATTATATCAAACATATGGACTATTCAATTCAATAAATTATCTACATACTAGCTGTCGACTTCGACTCTGACCGCGCGGAATTAAAAGAAATGAGTAGCCTATGTATTGCCATAGACTGCGTTTTAAATAAAAAACAGGTGAAGTACTATTTTAATTATTAATGGTGTATATTTACCTGAAATCCGACAACGGATCCTGCAAGTGGCTGTGTGGCGGCTGGAAATTTGCCTGCCTTTATAGATAACAAGCCGCCACCTGACAGGCAAAGTAACTCATCACACAACGAGTTCCAAGACACAGATGATATGTTCTCTTCCTAAAAAAATTACATTTGAATTTTGAAAACTATTTAACAGACATTAAATTTTATAGTTAACCTATATTAACATAAAAAGCTTTATATACGCTCACTATACGTCCCCACTGAGGACCTCGGACCCTACCCTAATTCAGGGGTAACTAGGCCTTAGGGTTTAGCTAATGTTTCAATTGTTGATCTTGTTAAATTATATTGAACTACAAAATGAAACCACCATTTTTGTTAAAGAAAGTATGGACAGGGAAGGATATCTATTCTAACACCTGTTGTCCTTTCCTTTCATCCTTTTTCTGTCTGTACCCACCTTTATCTTACGATAAGTAATACATCTGCTAACTATCTTCTTGATGAAAATGACTTTGGTGAATGATTACTAATGAGGTTCAGGTCGCCTACTATCTTTGTTTTGGTGATACTTTTAATATAATAGTCATAAAACTTACGGAATACAACAATTCAGAAGTGGGTAAGCAGTAAACTCGACAGATTGACAGATCATCAACAACAGCCAGGCGGCTACGTGACGCGCTGACGTCAAGACATCGTACACCAGATGGTGTTGTCACTATCACTTTAGAAGTGCCTTCTTTGGGTTCAACTCGCCAAATCTGTAAACAGAAATTATAAATTAATTTAAAAAAAAATAGCCTATAATACGCCCGTATGCATCATCTACCTTTACCTAATATCCTTCCCGTAAATTCTCGTCAAAACCGTTCCGGAGGCTACCCGGAACATATCCGGCCTTACAAACAGACAGACTGAACAGATTAAAACTTTGAAAATGTGCAACGCAAATACATCGTGTATTTGAGTTGTTGAAATGAGTTTTTTTCGAATAAACTTTTTAAATTTTAACCATAACATAAGGATAAATAATATTTAATTATATTACAATATTACTAATGCGAAAGTTTTGAAGGATGGATGGATGTTTGTTTGAAGATATCTTCAGAACGGCTCAAGGGATTTTGATGAAATTTCGCACACATGTAGAACACAGTCGGGAAAAGCACATAGGCTACTTTTTGAATTTTATTTTAATTCCACGCGGACGGAGTCGCGGGCGACAGCTAGTTTTCATAAAAATATTTAATTTAGAAAAAGATACATCTATTGGTGCGTTGATGACTCTCAAACGTGAATTATGCTACTTTATAGATAACACCGAGATAGTTCTATAACTAAACTATAGATGGCACTGTTATTTATTGACAAGAATTTCTTTTTCTCAGTATATAGTTATCACTGATTATTAATTATATATCAGTCAACCTTAAAAAATGGATTGACGTCATTTCTTGTAAAATACATTTACCTGTCCATTAAGAAGGCCTAAAAGAAGAACTTCCATAAAATATAATGTAGTAACTTTGACGTAGCGAATCAGCGCAGGAAAAGACCATGATCTTGGAGTTTTTTTCCCGATCATCGACAACTTATTATCCTGTAAATTATATAATGTTAGTCATAGTAAATTACTACAAAAGCTCAATTGGTTTCTTAATAAATAAATTAGTGATTATAATAAATTTTCTCTCATTATTTTTGAGATTAATGTCAATTTACATTCGTTTATTACAACTTTATGAAGCTTAATTCATACGACATTCTATTTATGACGGTAAATTTATTCATTTGATAAATATGCACTAGATGGTCGGTGTGAAAAAATGCCATCTATTGGCCAAAAATGTCTACGAAAATATGACATCGCTTAGAAAACGCCATTTTTGAATATGTTAATAATATCAGAATTTAAATAGAAGAAACATATCAGAAATTTAGTTTTATGCATCACATATTTAATACTCGCAAAAGCAAACTTTACGCTTTTTCTGCCATACAATGCCATACAAAATTGAAGTCAATTATTTTTCTACCACATCTAGCTACAGATCAACAATCGCATAAAGAGATATACTTCGCAACTGTGATTCGGGTTTGACTGAACCAGTAAAATCAAAGAATTAAAAAAAATGATTTAAACAGACCTCTTCTTATTTAATATGAGTATGTATGAGATGGGCCACTAAAAAGATTTCCAAAGGTAATATAACTCTATTTCTTATTAGGAGTAAGGATACATAGAACATCTGCTACTAACGTGGATCGACGAAACTGAAACGCAAACTGCGCAGAAGGAAACAAAACTAGCAATAATATAATATATTAATATTGCAGGGAACTGTCTAGCAGATTGGTGTAAAATACAGATCTTTATTGTATTAGGATTGGCTCTTCAGAGAAATGACTTTTACTTTTTGTCCCTACCCTTTTATAAACACATTTTTATTTTTATAGCGCTAACATTACATATTATGTTTCTTACAGGCATATGCATTGTTGACCAGTTTACATTGGCCCCTTCCGTCCTTGCCGTTATTTCTAACTAGATAGAAATTCGCATTTTATAAGGAGCATCGCATTAAATACTATAGAAGAGAAACTCTTCTGACTTTAAATTCGCAATTGTCATTTAATGCATGTGCTATAACAATAGTGAAATATATTCGAATATTTTTAACACGTTTTTAACAGACAGGCCATGAAAAATGTTTCTGCTAAATTTATACGCGCCAGGCGACATACCATGATCGTTAGTATTTTATACAATTTTCTAGCATTGGAATAATCCATTCTAGCATTCATTAAGAATGGAAGAATTTCACGTAAGACTCATGCATGTCACTCATGAAGAGCTTTTTTTAAAAATTCTGTTGAATATAAACGATCATTTAACATCTTAGATTATCTTATTTACTCTACCTCTATCATTAAATACTTAATTGTAACTTCCTATGAACAAGTTTACAACATCTTATACAATACAAAATATTATAAATGCGAATGTTAGGTTGTATGGATGTTGGTGAAATTTCCTGTAGATGTAGAACATAGTCTGGAAAAAGACATAGGCTCTATGTCATAGTCTCCAGAAGCACATGATACTTCTCACCCTTTTTGTAATTTGCATACGAATTCGCGGACAAAAACCTTCTAATACAAACAAAATAAAAGGAAAGATAATTTTGAACTTGAATAATATTGCACTCCAGTTTCAAAGATATGTAAGCAATGCTGCACTAAGGTTTAAATAATATTTTTCTGCGCTCAGCTTAAAACCCACTGTTATAAATATAATATTAAAAAAAAATAGTAGATTTTTTTTTAATTACATCATAGTCCACTGCATGACATACCTTTAACCTATACCTTTTAAAGTATTAAAAACTGAATTTAAACATAAGTAGTGAATTAAAAAATATAAAAATAAAATAAATGGCGCTACAGTTATAATGTCATTTTGCCTCAAGCACACACACATAAAAATCACAGACCATGAATTTGTCACATGTTGATATTAACATTCCTATCTCAATTTTTTCAATAAAAATGAGAGAGATGACAATATGTTTTTGTACAAATGTTTCGGAAATGGAAACTAACGATTTTCTACTTTAGTTTTGTTAAATATTTACCTGACAGAGTAACAAAGCGTCACTTGTGGCTATGAGGAGGGAGCATTCAGATTTTTGCGGCAACTTTTCCTTCACCCTGTACATCATTCCATCTGGATCTCCTTGTTCATAAACAACCACCCTCTCTGGAAGTTGAACCTAGAAAAAGTAATTATTAGTTATTTTATATCAAAGCTTTCATTTAGGTACCAAGATTTGTTAAGTTTAAGAAAAATATTAAGACATGGATTTAAAAAAAAACTTAATTAAGTTATGTGTACTTCCATATTATGTCCTACATTTTTACCAAATTTCAGCCAGATCCATGCAGCTATTTGGAGATACCTTTTAACAACCATCCATCCATACATCCAAATATTCGCATTTATAATATTAGTAAGATGTTATAAGCTCTTAAGACACTGCGTGATATGAAAATATTAATATATTTATTTCATTCACAAAATTTAAACATACCGCTAATCGATGTTTATATATTGCAATTTTCTGAACTCTGTCGTGACATTTGATCCGCACTTTGTTACCGGTGGTTAAATGTTGTATTATAACGTCAGTTATGTTCTCCCGATATGCATATCTTTCACGATACAGCCCGTGAACTGTACTGAACACTATTTGATAACACCACAGAGTACCATCCTGACATGCCACCGCCTGGAATTAGGTTTCACTCATTAGTAGTGTCACAAACAACATATAAAAATGAAGACAGAGACAATTTCTTTTGTTTTGTATTTAGGCACAATGGTCAACTGTAAAGAAACTTATATCAATGTCTTCCTTATAATCTATAGATAACATTGATGATATAATTTGCCAACTTTAAGAAACATATTAAAAATTAGACGATATTGTCATAAATATTGCGATTATGACCCTAATACATTAATAGTACCACTATAATATAAAATGGATGCTTATATTTGACTAGCTTTCGCCCACGACTCCGTGCGCGCGAAACTAAAAAAAAAAGTAGCTTTTATGTTCTTCCAGGCTATGTTCTACAACTACACCAAATTTTCTTTTCTACATCTATGCAGTAGTTCTGTATATACCTTAAAACAAACAAACATCCATCCAAACATTCGCATTTATAATATTAGTAAGAGTAATATAATTCAGATATATAATGAAAGGAAATACATAGTGCTATAATTGACTAACCATAGTATTTTGTAAGGGTGATGGTGCAATGGCCCACACCCAATCCTGGGGTGTGTTCAGCATAACAACACCCTCTGTTGTTAACACAGCCCACCCACCTACACCACCAACAAGCACAAGCGCGTCGAATATTGCTATTGACAATGCTGCTATACCTGAAATGACAAAAAATATATATTATGTTAAAAACCATCTGTTACCCGCGACACTGTCCAGAATTTAACATTTAGTATCCTATGTGTTCTTCCAAATAATAAATAAATAATTCCTTACCTATATACCTATCTTTTAATACTTGCTGTCCCTGTACATTATAAAAGGACATTGTGTCATTCCAGTCTGTAACTAAAAGTGTGCTATTTGCAAATGCTACAGCCCATACAGGTGCTTCTCTTTGTATCAACTGTACTTCATCTCCTGTCTGAAATATTAAAATGTTATATTTAAACCTATTTATTAATTTTATTTTACATTTATTTCTATTTAGGTGTAAATCAAAATCAATCACTTTGACTTTATTAAGTTACTACTTCTGATTCTTTTTTTAAAAGAAGGAACATTTAATTTTTATCTAACTAGCTGCCAACCGTGACACCGTCTGCAAGGATGTAAAAGAAAACATAATAAGTAGCCTATATGTTCTTCTAGACTATGTTTTATTGTATGCATATCTTACGAAATGCCAAAGTTTAGATAGATTGATGGATGAATGTTTGTTAAAAGTTATCTCCTGAAGAGCTTAAAGGATTGTGGTGAAATAATGCATAGACGTAAAATATAGTCATACAACTACAGACTACCAATTAAGTTTTTATTTAATTCCATGCTAGTGGAGTCGCCGACCACATTTATGATTTTTTTATAAATAAGAAATTAATAATGGCTGGAAGTTTGTTGTCACATAACAACTGATTGGTTCTGAATTAATTTTGGAATAGGGATAAATTACAGCCTAGAACAGCGCACTTAAGCTACTAATTAAATTAATTTAATTCTTTGCCAATGGATGTATAAGCAGCAACTAGCAAATAAATATAAATAATACTTGCTTTATTCCTTAAAGATACTGCACCAGTAGCGAGCCCAATAGCTAAAAACTGTCCATTATGTGACCAAGCGCAACTTGTTATGCGTCCTGAAACCCTGTACTTCTGTACAGCCTTCACATCAGCAGACCAGAATGCAAAGTCTGACAAAGCACAAGATGCCAAGTGTAGAGACACAGGATTATATGCAAGACATTGGATAGATTCACTGTGTCTGGAAGGAAATAAGCATACATTCATCAAGATGTAAAATAAATACAGATTTAAAGTAACTTAAATTTAATTTTCTTTTCATCTAAATCAAATTTTGCTTACTAATATTATAAAGAGGATAGATTCATTTTTTGTATGTTTGTAACAGTGGTAGTGATAAAAGCAATATATATTGCTGGTGCCCTCTCTTCTGGTGATTTGTACCTCACATAAGGCAGATGTGAGGTGTTAAAACAGAAAAAACATATGTATAAACAATAATCAAAGTATCTATCTTAAATTTAAAATACAAGACAAGAACTTACGAATACTTAAGAACCCCTTCCATCTTAGATGTCCATATAATAACATTTTTGTCAGCACTGCCACTTGCAAACTTTTTTCCATCTCCACAATATGCAACAGCATGTACGGCCCCTTTATGAGCTTGTAGCAATTGTACCAGTGCTCCGTCCCTTGGATCATATACCATTACTTTCTCACCAGCACCAACAACCAACTGTGTACCATCAGGATTGAAGCATATTGCATGAACACTGAAACAAAACAATATATAAATATATGTCATTATCAACCCACTATATGTGCTTACTGGAGGCTTGGTGCCTACTCTGCCAATGGTCGTTGGTTGACATGTATAAGGCAGACATAAAAAATAAGACTAGCAACTAAGCAAACAGACAACTGAATAAGCCCAAATGACGAAATTTTGAATTTGATAAAGTTTATAACATGTTATAAGATATTGAACAAAAAAATCACCATGATGATTCAATTTTATCGGCTTCATGGATCTTATTAACCCATTTTGGTACTGTTCGCATTGTTGTAATAGTTTACAAAAGTTTGTTTCTTTTTAAAAACACTCATGAATTACACAATAAGGGCGTCTGTTTTGGCTAACAACGGGTTTTCCATAAATGTAAACAAACGGTTCAGAAGTTGAAGTAGAAACGTCACTGATTTAGATTTTAATTTAAATGACAATTAAATGATGTAGTTTATTCGTTTTACGATTAGTTTGACATTGACAACGACCGCCTATGAAGTATCGATATTATTTGTATGACGCTTTATATCGTACTTTAATTACATGGGTCGTAGCATCGAACCTTACGTGCTCACCGAAAAACTGTTTAAAATCGCAAATCGGTAAAAAGTATTGAATATTATTTTTTTCGTTACTTTTTATTTATTAAAATTATTTGGCTATCTATCGTACAATTAGATGTTATGATTTCACACACTAATTCCAATTATTTTAACTGTCGACACTTAGGTTTTTACTTTAAAGTTTTTAAAAATAATGGAGGAATTAAAGGGATTTTTATATTAACTAAAAACGAAATTTTGATTTCAATTTGTATGAGCACAAACATCGAGAACTGAAAAGCTTTTTTATCGATTTTACCGTATCCACCCGACTTAATTGTCCAACTAGTTATCATAAAATGACACTGACATTTATTAACAGACTGCTTATGAGATGTAGTATTTTGTGCCTATTTGATTTTCGCCATTTTGGCACTGATAGTAGCGGTTTATAGCGGTGGTGTGGATTTGAATTTATAGATAGATCCATTTATAGAGATTAGTGTCAAACGGACAACCGAAATTAAAATAATATACTAAGCTAAGTTTGGATTAGAAATAGACTTATATAGTTTATCCTATTTTGGTAATCGGAAAATATGTGAACTAACTAATAATAATTTACAAATTATACATATCACATGATGTTAAATCATGTAGGTTAATATGATAATGTGTTGATATAATTAATACAGAACTCAGTTAAAAACTGGCATAACAATTGCTGGAAGTTGCAACACGGATGGCTTTCGGAAGGAATCAGAGAATTTTTGCTCATTGGTAACCCTATAATCTCCCATCTGTTAATATCAAAATAGTGTCTGAAGACCCCTATCGTCTAGTCGTCACAAGCTTATCTCGACTGGTAGAAGTGGCGCGAGTGGCGCTGCTATCGCGGCTAGTTCGGCTGCCTTAAATGCTAAATTTTAATTATTATTTGATAAATATCCATATCCAGACTCCTTAATAATAATTAACTATAATTATGTCAACATTTACGAGCACTTTTAACATTTATTTTATCACAAAAAATATTCATCTAAACTTAAACAAAAATTAACGTTGATTTCTGGGCATACGGACTGTAAAAATCAATCAAATACAGCGGGGCGAAGGGGTAAAGAAAACTGTTCGATCGATATCAACAGATATCAAATTCATACTTTTCAAGACCGCTTGTTGCTGCTTGTTGCTCGAAAATAAAGCTAAGGTAAGATTTTATAATTATCATTGGACTTTTATAATAGGAAATTTGGAGTAATACAGTACAATAATATTAAACATTCGTAAATATTAGCAATAAGCACTCGTAAAGTGCTGAAATTTGAAAACAGATTTTTGCCTTCTAGTGTATAAAACGCAGTTCGCAAGATTTTAGCTTTAGCTATTAATATTTTGCTGCTAATATCAAGACTAATTAATATATTTTAAATTCTATATGGTTTATTTTAAAGGAAGATATATTTCGAAGTACCATATGCTTCGAACCAGGTCCCTTAATTTTTATTAGGCGGGGCAAAAACTAAAAAATGCCGAACTCGCCCTCTTATTTTACTTTATCTTTTATGTTTTTCTCTTTATGAAAAGTAAATAATCAGTTTGGATTAATCTATATTCTGAGCATTTTGTCGCCTCCTAAACTTGCCGACGGGGCGTGGGGCCCGGCTTGCCCTTACCTAGATCAGGAGCTGCTAATACCGTTAACATATTGCTGCTAAAATTAAGACAATTCAGTGATTTCAATTCTATATAGTTTATTTAAGAGGATGACATATCTCAGAGTACCATATGCTTAAACTAGATGAATCTTTTGTGACCCAATATTAAAAGATTCATGCTAATACTATTCACATTTTGCTACTAACATAAATATATGTTAATGTATTTAAAAGGAAGATAAATTTTGCTGTACCATTGACTTAAAACCAGCTCTTTCTTAATTTTTTTAGGCGGGGCGGGGCTAAAACTTAAAAATACTGACACCATCCACTTATTTTATTTTTACCTTTTACGTTTATTCTATTATGAAAGTAAGGTAAATAATCAGTTTAGATTAAACTGTAAATAGAGAATTTTGCTAAATCATGAATTTAGCGTCCGGAGCATGGGCCCCAGATTGCCCCACCCTAAATCCCAGGCTGCTAATACCATTAACATTTTGTTTCTAACATAAATACGTATTAAAGTATTTCAAATTCTGTATAGTATAGTTTAAAAGAAGACATATTTTGGAGTACCATATGCCTAAAACCAGATATTTCTGAATTTTTTCTAGGCGGGGCACAAACAAAAAAATGCTGACCCCGCCCTTATTTTATTTTTACCTTTTATATTTATTCTATTATGAAAGTAAGGTAAATAATCAGTTTAAATTAAACTGTAAATTAAGAATTTTGCTAAATCATGAACTTAGCGTCTGGAGCATGGGCCCCAGATTGCCCCACCCTAAATCCCAGGCT